GACCACTTGTAAAAGCACTTGAGATTTACCAGTGGTGACGCCACATGCCCGTCCTGCTGCTATTAAGGCAAACCTTGGATGTGGCGCTTGTTACATTTCACCCTCTTAAAAAATACTTCGCAAACTGAAAAGAGTCAGGCCTAGGCAGCACTTGGACTAGAAATATCCAAAGGAAACTTAATTCTTTTGAGAATAGATGTGGGTGATGCTTTCCAAGTGGGTGGACAAAGAAAAACCCACAGCAGGAGGCGAGGTAGCTATTTGGAAGGAAGGTGGTCAAAGGGATGTTTGGTTTTTAAAGTATGTAGAGGATTTTATACAAATGTAGAAGACAGATGAGGTACAGATGTAGAGGATTTTATACAAATATACATAAGGAAAATTAGAAGAGATTGAGCAGTAAATGGCAAATGATCAGATTATATGATAAGATTTTGTTCTAGCGTACACTTCAGCTCTCAGTTTGTGAGTCATCAATAAATCGTAGGTTTATTTGCACAACTTGTGCTCCACCATTTTAAAAGAAGTATAACCTAGGCAGTGAGACTTGTCTCTAAACTTGGTGAGTACACCTCACATTATATCCTTAAATAAATACTGTAATTTTAGTTTTAGTTATAAATACATATTACTTGTTAGATATTTGCTAGATATGGTTATTTCTTGGATATTTATATTGTGTTTATATTATTTACTGTTTTAAGTTTCTCTGTTACTTGAGATTAGATAACAAAGATAAGACTGCTTTTTTGTGGTAGCCGTAGTCTGTGTCACAGACTGTGATATAACTCTCTGTTTAGTGGTGTGGCTTCCCAGGAAGTAAAACCACAACAGACAAATAGTTTATCAATATAAATTAGGTATGCCCCCCTTAATTCTTCAGACAGCTGCATCAGGAAGAAGCCTTTTCCCCAGGGAAGATTTGCACGCTGCTTCTCAGACCTGGGTAGAAATTCATCTGCCCTCAAAAAAATAGAGTGTAGAGGATGAGAGTATAGATCTTGGGGACTCTCTCTTCAATAGTGCGTTCACAGCTTTGTCAGTGTACCTCAAAACAGCAGGGACTGGAAACCCCAGAACTGCACAGGTGATTTAGCCCTGCTGAGAGATTTTTCTTGGTGTTTTTAATGCAATAGCTGTAGTTTAAGCCCCGTGTGATTGGGTAGCCAGCACTGAGTTGCACAAGAAAGGGATTAGGCAGAGATTTATATAAGAAAATGCAATGGAAGTAGCTGTCCTGTCCTTCCTTCTCCTCACTGGCCCAGCTCTCCCTGGGAGGGACCCACCTCCCTTTCAGAGATCTGCTCAAAGCAAAGAAGTGTTTTAGTTCATTTTTCATCAGGCTGAAGCAAACCAGGTCCTCTGTCATGATGTATTTAGTCCCTGTCCAAGTGCACCTCATCTTTTTTTTTTTTTTTTGTGGTGCACAATGTTTTCCAGAAAGGAAAGGACACTGAAAGCTTCTGTTTGATTTTCTGCATGTTATACCACCAGAGAGAAACAGCCTGCACTATGATAGAAGCCTATTAGGCAGCAAGTTGCAGTATTGGTTTTTTCCTCCCTTTATTTCTCCTGTTACTTTATGTAGTTGGAGCCAGCTTTGGGCAAGTCGATTGTTTTGGATACCCAGAATTATTTTAACACACTTGTAAAACCAACTGGCCAGCAGCAGCCCTTACCGCAGTGTTGAAACTGCCTGGAGTCAGACTAGGGCTGAGCAGAAAACTGACAGGGTGATGAGAAAAATGTTGCAGGGCAGAGATAAGAGGTGGAAACAAACAAAAAAGTTCAGTGTGTGTGAGGAGAAAAGACGTCTGGGTGTGGTGGTTCTCAGAAGCAGATATCTGCAAGTATCATCTACATACACATGGGTTTCTTCAGCACAGAAATCAGGGTTGAGAATATTGTGCAACCAGATCGCACCCTGGAGCGGAGCTGGGATATGATTGGGAAAGTAGTAATTATTTCTAGGTTGTGTAACACATGCAGCCAGAGGGGCTGTGAAAGCAAGCCTGTGCCATGCAAGTTATCACCAAGTAATTTCAGGATTATCAGCTATCCACCACAAGGAAGGCAGTATTTAAAATACAGGAACTCCGACTGCTGTGGACAGCTGTGGTCTACTGGGCCAGGCCTACCAGCACATTTTGGTCTCGCTGCATGGCTTCTTGGTGCTATGCCAGAGAGTACTTCGTCATGCTTGGGAAGTCCTGAGAAATACACTGGAAAGCATAGTACAGAATTAGTAGTAATAGCAGTTAAAAGACGGGGACACCAACATTCAATTCAAACCAGTATGTTCACTCTCTTCACTGCTGTGTCTTCCCCTTTCCTGTTTGTGCACGGCTTTGCTTTCCTTGTTTCTTTGCTTTGTGCCATCCCTATTTCTGTTTGCCTGCGTGATTTTCTTTCTCTTGTTACTTAAGAGTTATTTCAGTATTCTTCCTCCAACGTAGAATGGCTTTGGTTGGAAAAGACCTTTAAGATCGAGTCCAACACACAGAGGGACAGATGCGTAGCTACATCATTTCTTCACTAATGACTACATCAGAGCAGAACTTTTCCAATTTCATAGCATTTAGCACCTTCAGCTTGCAGAACACTTTGACTTTCTTCCCAGGGGAGAAGCTGGCTGAACCCTGACAAAGTCCAGTTGCTTAATACCTGCAGGAAGCTATACTGTTAAGTCCAAATAAAGCATAAACCCCCTTGGGTCCTTATCACTTAAAAAAAAAAAAAAAATCAGTGTTTGACAGCCACACTGGAGCTGCACAGATGACTGGTACTTCAAAGCATGAGTAGAGACCTAAGGCTCGTGTTCTCTCTGCAGGCAAAGCAAGAGTGACAGGATTAAGAATTAGTGAGGTCTCAGTAACTTTAATTTCTGACTTAACCTTTGGGACTTACTTACCTGAAGGCAACCAAAGAGAATCACTGTGCTTGGAGCTCTTGTTCCCATTACACCTTGTTGCTCCTGCACATAGCAATTCCTTCACATCCCCGTAAAAGCAGCGCCTTTATGCTGTCAATAGGGGTGACAAGTAGTGTACACTGCAGCTCCCTCCGGAAAGCAACATAGGAGAATGGGTTAACTCCTTTGCTCTGTTTAAGACCTCCCTGGTAATAGCAAGGGGAAACCCCATGAGGCAGGAAGTGAGGCAGCAATGACTACAGCAAGGAGCTATGCAGATTTTTTTTCCCTCCCTCCCTCGTTGTCCATCCTCCACCCAAGACCTAACTGATATTATTCCAGCAGCCTAGCGTATAGTTTTCCCACTTTTCCTTCTCCTCAACCTGAGTTCTCAATTCTTCCCTGCTTAGTTTTCCTTTCTCTCCTTCATTCTTTGTTCTGTTTTTGACTTTGACTGTTGTACGGCTTTGTCTGCTGCCTTTTTTGGGTGCATTCCTATTCATTGCCCTCCCACGACTCTCCCCTAAGGCGTGCCCACAGCCCAGCAGCCTGCATGCCCTTTCTTGTTTATTCCTTACAATCTTCCTAATCCTGCATGCTTTAGCAGTCCCTCCACACTCTCTGTTTTGACTTCAAAACTCTGCTCTGCTTCTATCACCACCAGGATTTTCCTTGATTCCACACAATCTCGCTTGCGGTCCCAAAATCTCTTTGTTAAATCTGTGTATGGGCAGACCCGGAGGACAGGGACAAAACCCATACTACGGGAGAGCTCCCTTGCTGGCCCAGCTTGTGCCCATTCTCCAAACAGAAACCCACTGTACCAGCAGAACTGCGACACCACCGCGTCATCTGCGCGCCATTTCCTATCAGTTTAAGTGCATCTGTTAGAAGTGGGATTTCTTCTTCCCCACTCCCTGCCTCCTCATCCCAGCAGTCATGACTGGAGCAATAAAAACTTTCAAACACAGGCCAAGACAGCCAAGTCAACAGAGCACGTTTCTTTGACAAGCCTGTGAAATGCCAGTTGCTCTAAAACTTTATTTTCTCTCCTGGGGCTTCCCCAGTTGCTCTTTCATCCTGCTGTCTCCCCCTCCTGCACGACAGATGAACAGGAATCGGGTGTATTTGCAAAAATGACACGTTTTGGTTCTGCCCTTTATCGTACCTTTAACCTGTTTACATTTTAGCAAGCTAAGCACAGCTCTTCTGTAGCATTTGGCTTTAGGCCAGAAAATCTGCAATGAAGCTTTTTCCTGCTTAACTTAACTTCCCGTACTCTCACTAAAACAGCACGGCCCACCAGGACAAGGCAATATTTAGTCTGACTTCTGTAGGCAAATTTAATCCAGTACACTTTATGGGCTTGGCAGCTCAGATTGCTGCACCTGATTGAATGCTTCATGAAGTAACCACAGGTGTACTCCCTATTTATCTACGAGATCTCCTTCCTTGTTTAGCAAAACAGCATTTAAGTACTTATCTTCTCATTGTCCTCTCTGGTGTTTCTTTTCTGAGGCAGCTTCTCAGGTGTCTGCTACTAATAATTCACATCACCCTTAGCAGCCAGTGAGCATCCTTAGCACCCTTTTGAGGCTAAAAATACAACACAAAATTATTTTGCTTGAGCACAAGAAAGCACACACTTTTCTTACTCTTGATTATGCTGCTCCACTGAGTAAATGGACCTTTTGGTGAATACAGAAACACACACTTAGGGCCTGCTTGGGTTTTTTTCTGTTTTCTCTCCAAGTAGAGTCCATATAATACCAAACTGGCATACTTATGGGTGAGAATATTTATGTAGGTAAAATTGAGTAATCTTCCTCAGAAATCTTTCCTGCAGAAAGCTGAGGGGGAAGTAGAAGCCTCAGCAGCCACCCCACCAGATGTAAATGGTGGGTTCCCTTACAGGGGTGAGTGTTGTCCACTGAACCTGGTACAAGATGTGTTCATTTCAGCTGCAGTCTTTCTCAGTGACGGGACTAGGTCACATGGATGTATTTCTAAAATCAGCATAAACCAGATTTTTGTAGTTTGACTTAAAAATTGCTCTGCCAATCCCCATCTTTGGGTTTGTTTCAGATTTACTGTCTCAATGGAAGTCGTATCAGCCTGGGCCCCAGCAGTGGGTTTCACACTCCTGCCCCACGCAGGAGGGTATTTAGGAAGCTGGATGACCAAAAGTGAAATCCCAACATGGTATGAATCTCTGCAGAAACCATCCTGGTGTCCACCTAATTGGGTGTTCGCTCCTGTTTGGGGAACTCTCTACACATCTATGGGGTACGTTTTTCACTTACCTGATCTCAGAGTTGCCTGTTGTATTAATCCTGAACCAGAGAACTATTATTGTATTCCTGTGGCTGTATGTTTGTAAGAAATGGTGCCAAGGTGCCTGTTTAACAGGTAGAAACGTGTGGGAGTTGTGTGTGGGTTTGACAGGACATTCTGTATGCGTAAGTATCCACATCAAAATGAGGAGTTTGAAAAGCTGCTATTAATATGCTCTCCTCATTCATTCTGACGGGAAGACCTGCCAAGCTGGCAGCGATGGAGCAAGGCAGCACTGGGATTTCTTCTGTGTACATCCTTCGGTAGTTTTATACTACTGTTTACTATATTACTGTTTTATTTACTGTTATTATATTATTTACTGTATTATTACTGTTTACAATATACTATACTGCAGTTTTGATACTCCTCACAGCCTGCCCTAGAAGCTGTCCACCCAACATTACTCGCACAGAGTGATCCTTTGTGTCTCTTCTGCACGTGGTCATGAAGAACCAGCGACATACCAGGATTCAGCTTGGTTTTTTCCTAGCCATCAGATACGCATATTGTACATAAGCCACATAATCTAATAGTAGTAGTTTTTAGGCTGCAATATGCTTTTCATAGTTTACCCCTCCCATTTCTTCCACCATGACAGTACATTTTAAGTGATTTGTAGTTTGTATATCATGCTGGCTTAACTATATAAAGTTTCAAAGAGGCCAAATCTTTTCCAAGTTAACATTACAAAGTCATCCTGCAGGTTATCTTAAATACCACACCACCTGTTGCAAAATACAGCAATGATGCAATGTCTGAAACTGTATCTGAATGCTAAATTGGCTCCCACACATTCTCTCATTTTCTTTCCAGAAGAGCTTTCTAATTTTTATAGCCTCACATACTATCCATCCTTTCCCATCAGTGTTTTTTTTCCTTTCTCCTCTTACAGAGTGTACTTTTAAAAAATTGCTCTCTACTCTTGTATATGCCAAGAGTTAACATTTGAATCAGATCATTACTGTCCTGCAAATGATTAAAAAAAAAGCCTTTTATCAAAGATACAAGAGCTGAGATGAAGTTAAATATTTTAACAATCCAAATTGTGACAGCTTATCACTTACTTGGATAGTATCAGAATCAGTATGTTTTGAGGTGGATGGTCCTGGTTATGCACTATACCTCTAGCTTGGTGAAGAGATCATATTTATTGCCAGGCTTTTTCCTTAAATGATTGAGACTAATTCATTCAAAATCTCTGGATTATATTAAAAGCAAGGAATAACTAAAAGCAAGATTTAATAAGCTTACATGCCTTTCTTGATATTTAGCTTCCCAGCTGATTTGTGCCTCATGATCTTAGTCTGAAGTCAAAGTTAGACTTGTGGACAAATGTAAGACTGTGGCTCCGTAAATCACCTAGGAACAGATTTGGGTCCTGATGCCTTTTATGAAGAGAAACTGTTAAGTTTCTCCCCCCACTCCCCCTTTCTTTTTTAAAATACTCTTCTGCAATCAAACTACCAAAATATCAAAAGCTGCATTGTTCAGCCCCTATGAAGGTAATGGCCAAGAAGCAAGCTTGGGTCACTGACTGGGTTAAACAGAAAAAAAAAATCCTTCTTGTATGACCTACAAATGAAGAAAAAACTCCTTGCAATTACTCCTATGAATGGTTGTCTGCTCCTAAAAAAAAAAAAAGCGCTTACAAGTTGGTCGTTGTCTTTGCCTCACTGCCAGCAGAAATACGTCTGAGCCCCGGCTGTCCAGCATAGTGCAGAGTCCTGCTCACATTCCTACCAGGATGGAGTCAGTATTCAGTTACTAATTCCAAAACAAGGGTATAATTCCAGATGTTGGCACTTTATCCAGGGGATTCTACTGCAGTCACTTGGAATGGCTGTGCAGTCATCTGGACTGAAATCCAGCTGATGTCTGGAGGGAAAGTCAAACAAGAGCAAATAAATAGTCTTAGGTGATGAATGCTCCCTGTTCTAATCAGGCTCCTTCAGTGCAAAAATAAACCTTACATTAATAAATCTCCCGAATCCTGAGAACTCTTGTCTTTAGCTGCTTGTACTCTGGGATCCCTCCAGTGAACTGTTCTGTGGCACTGAGAAGATCTCTTCAAAGTCTTCAAAACATTTTTGGAAGATCTTTCAGTAGCCAGGATCCCACAGACAGGAAGGCTGCTGGATGGTCCTTGCGGTTAATTCTTCCCACAGAAGTCCTAAAAATCTTTGTTGTCCCCATGTTTGTCCCATCCCCTCCTCCCTTCTGACATGTGACTATAGGGTTGTTCAGGCTCTAACACCATCCACACCCGTGCTCAGGTGTGCTTTGGGATGCCATGTGTTTTGTCATTCCCACCTCAGTTCCTACTCCTGCTATACTTCATCCATTCTAAAAAGTTTTTTTTATGTCTTTATTTGAAAGCATCACATCCCAGTACCAAAATTAACAGTTTCTTCACTATTTAGAGTGAAATTTTACCTTTTACCCTTGTGTCTTAAGCTTGCTTCCATTTCAACATAGCATTCTCTTTTAAGCCTGAAATGCAGTAGAGGTCATCTGCTCCTGTGCACCTAGAAGCAAGAACGCTGGCAGGATAGGGAATTTTTCTCTCTCTATATTGCTGTCCACAGCAGGTGACCACCCCTCTACTGTCATTTACTCTGCCAAGTAGTGCCTGGATATCTCATTTTCCAAATTAATCTAGACCTTAGCACTGAAGCGGTTTCATTTGATGAAGATCCCAGCCAAACCCAGCAGACTTTCTGACCAAAGTACTGAATGACATCTTCCATTTGCTTTCTCCAGATATGGCTCCTACCTGGTGTGGAAGGAATTGGGAGGCTTCAACGAGAAGTCAGTGATTCCTCTGGGTCTGTATGCAGGGCAGCTGGCACTAAACTGGGCATGGACTCCTGTATTTTTTGGAGCTCACAAAATGGGATGGGTAAGTGGAAAAATAAGTTTCATAATCATTGGCTTCTGCTGCCATTTGCAAGGTGCTAAGACAAAAGTTGTGCGTTGTAATCTTTTCTCTTTGAAAATGAGCCTGAGTACAGAATATGGCTCGCAGAAGTTTTCTAAAACTCTTTAATGCATGCCAGCAGCCACCTGAGAGAATTTACATATCTACAGCATCCTTAAATGTTTAGATTTCAAGAAGCTCTTTCTGCCACCCTCTGATAAGAGCTTTGTGTAACTAGAAAATGTAAACATTTATGCCTTACTAAAATTCCTAGGTATCTCTAGCAAACAGCAGTGATAAGCAGCTTTTCATAACATTACTCAGGTAATCAGCACCCATTTTAGACAAGACTAATTTTCTGCAGTCTGAAGAGAAACAGCTTGCCTCAAAAATAAAAATCAATAACAATAAAAAATACTTGCTTGGTTCTCTAAAGATACATGCAGTGCCATAATAGTGGAAGGCTTTGCAATCCATCATGGGTTCATTCACGCTGCACCTCTTCAGGCAGCATCAGTGTCATGAAAAGACTGGGTAAGTTTACGTAGCTGAGTGATTTGCTCAAAGTCACGCTGGATTTGTAGTCAATGTAACACTTCCCACTGCCAAAAAAAAGAGGGTATGGGTGAAAGGGATTTTATTCTCCCTCTCCTGCTCCCAGCTGCAATACCTTTTCTGGTGACTGCTGTATCATTTTATGAGTCGAATTGACTCAGAACTCAGCAGAAATCTTACAATTTTTGCTGGCTGGTTTTCTGAGAAGGAATTAACTCACAGAGGGATCCAACAAGTGCCAGAGCTAAGTGGAAAGAGCCACACACAGACTAATCAAGAAAATGCAACAAGTAAAAGCAACACTAACCACCTTCCTGTGTTACAGGGGTTGGCGACTCTCCTTCTCACGACTGGTGCAGCAACAGCTACAACTGCTTCCTGGTATAACATCAACAAAACAGCAGCTTATTTGATGGTTCCTTATTTAGCTTGGCTAACCATGGCTTCTGCACTCAACTACCGTGTCTGGAAGGACAATAGCGACAAGAAACAATCTGAATAGGCAGTTTTCAGCCGAAGTTTTTTCACAAGTTTTCTAAATAAAGTTACGGCCTTATTTTCTTTTTAGCTGAACTATTTATACCGTCATTTTGCTAATTACAAGCTGACAAAGCAGTGTGTGTTTAAAACAAATATGTCTTTATTAGGCAAGTCACAAAGGGGTGTATGCCTGACTGGATGTTATAGTCAAGAGATTGTGCTGATTGAAAAGCACTGGTTTTCTATATTACAGCATTATATTTTATATGACAACAGCATTTTAGCTACTACCAGAAATAAGCATGAACTTTAACTTCATTATGTTCAGAGAAAGAAATCCAGCCATGGATTAACACAGCTTCCAGAAAGCTGTTCCTAACAGTGACAGGCATGGTTGTGGCCTATTTCGTGTTCACCACTAGACACAGCGCTTTAGTGCTATGACGTGTGCCACTACAGCTGCCAGATATTTATCTTCTGGTCATTGTACGCTGGACATGTATAAGACAAGATTTTTTTCCACAATTTGTGTCTTTCCACTTGCAAGAATTGTACAAATTTAGCATCAGCTAAGTCCATTAAACTACATGGGAATTTACTAACCTCGTTCCTCCGTTTTCACTAGTCTTACATGGTTTTGAGCAGAAAAATAAAGCAACAGGATGCTATAGCCTCAAAGACAGTCCCTTCATCTCTGTTGCTCACCATGGCAATGGGCAGGACAAAACAGGAAATTCAGAGCACGTGGATGGAAACTGAGAGGAGGACCCAGATATCCAGCAGCCCCCTCCCCCCCCGCCATACACACCTCGGAGGCATCACCAACAGCACTGGCCAGACAGCACTAACATGCTCTGCCCAGACTCCGTGTGATGCCAGATCACCACTGCACCTTGGCAGTGGAGGCAGCAGCCAGACCATGGGTGGGTCTGTTGCCCAGCAGGGCAGTACAGACACCATAGCTACCAGTGTCTACCTGCACCTTCTCGCTTTAGCTGCTTAGAAATGGAAACAAGGCTTTTGCCTCTTCAGGGCTATGGTAGCTGACTTAGTAAGATCCGGGATGCTTAGTCCAACCAGTTGCTTCCTATAAGATAAAAACATCTCTTTTGTCTCAAAGCGCAACGACTATTTCTGCCCACAGCTTGTGATACCGCTGCACAAATACTGCTACTTTTAAGAAGTCATTCTTCTGGTTTGCTAAGGGTGACATTACTTTTGCTGTTGTGATAAGAGAAACTTTCCATTTACTTTAAATACACAGGCACTTGGTTACATGTCTTCAGGTACTCTGAAGGCAGAAAGTGCCTTTTGCTCCCTTCAAGTGACAAATACATACACTGAGCACGCATGTCCCCTTACATCCCATCTCCTGCACTCATTACTGTAGTCTATATCACAGACAAACTTTTTCCTTGCATCCTAAGTAGTCACACCATCTATGTTAAGCACTTAACCATGTTTCTTTAATCACAGGTAAGTATGGAGTCCAAAAAAGTTCCGACTCAGGAGCAGGAGACTGTTACGGCTGTCAGCACCACATCAGGCTGTGCAATCCAGCTCTCCCTTCTGCCTCACCTGTGCAGTGACTGCATTTCCATCAGACACGGATGGTTTATTTTTCCAGCCTATGTCCCAGTCAGTGGAATGAAGGTGGTTTCTGCAGACCATCCTGAAATAGCCTAAAATATCCCTCTCCCTCCTTGATCATGAGGGTAACGTTGCATATTTGCAAAGCTTGAAGCAAGCTTTGGAAGATTTATATAATTTTGTAACTGTACTCTGCTCTCAAGTAGATCTTGATTGCTGTAACTACCTTTAAAAAAAAACCCAAAACACACCCACATAATATATGCTGCATGACAGACAGCAGAATTTTTGGAACTTGTACATACATACAAAGCAACACAAATACAGCCTAAAATTGCTAAATTTCAGCCAGTTACCCTGCTGTGAGGAGGGTGGAGAGATTCAGAATTACTAATTTCAAACTGACATGCCACTTTCAAATACCTCTATCTTAGGGCCTAAACTTTAAAGTCCAAAGATTGCTTGGGCTTCTAGCAGTTCTCCAGCTCCCTTTTATTCCTTCAGGCTTCTGCTTTCCTGTGCTGCTCTGGACATTGCATACTTCTCGCTTCCTGCCTGACCCCTTCTCAAAACATCTAGTTACCTTAAGGGGCAGGCTCAGGATGACAGACAGCAGCTGGGGAGTTTGTTTGCCTTTTTTTAAGAAAGAAAAATGGGAAGAGCCATGAAATTCTTAATCTCATCACTCTAGTAATTGCACTGAAATACCATATTATTTTCCCATCAGACGTTTTAGATCTTTGAATAACAGAGGGATAGATAACAAAGAGATATACAAACTCCAACCTGATTCAGTAAATTATAGTTTAATGTTGACATGAGGAACTTGTGCAATGTTTCCCAGCAAGCAAGCAGTCAGGCTGCCTGAAAAACAAGTCAGTCGGTCCAGTTACTCTTCTATTTTGAGATCTCCCATATTCAATAAACAAAACATTTGGTCAACACAAATCAATGATTTCTAGAACTAAGCAAGACAAGGAAAATGCAGACAAAATTATTATTGATACAGTACATGGTATATGTATATTCTTCTGCTAGGAATTTCTTTTTCCTGGGTTACCAGTATAGGAAAATAGTTGCATCAGCAGCTCATAGAACTGAAATATAAATCTTGCTGTTAAGCATATCTGGGAAGGAAATTAATAGAGCCAGCCTCCTGTGGCTAGACAATGCACGTCACATGGCAGCCGTCTGTTTCATCCAGAAATAGGGTGCTGAAGACATCATTAAAAAAGGTAGGGTGGTATTTGCAGGCTCTATCGCAGTCAGGATTAAAGTTCACCTCCAGGATCTGAGGCTGCATGATTCTTTTCCCTGTAAAGGGGAACAAAAACACTGCCTCTTAATATAAGCTCTATAGTGATCCTGAATCACTACCTGTCTTTTTAAGCTAGAGATTACAGACAATGACTGGAAAAAGCCATCTTTCATGACCCAAGCTGGCAGGGTGTTTATATTTCAGTGGGGTTGGTTGTTTTTTGGTTGTTTTTTTTGGAGCAGCAGACGTCTGTTCTACCATCATTACCCAGAGGACAGTTATCCAACAGATCCTGCAATCACTGTGCTAATCCAATGCTTCATTTAGAATGAGATTTTACAGCAATATAACTGGATTTCCCCAACACAGCTGTCTTGCCCGAGTCTGAAACATCTTCCAGAAAACTGCTGCTTCTTTCATGTTTCAGTACAAACCTCCCTTCTTAAAGCATTGAGATATCTACCTTTCGAGCTCTAGCTGTCCTGTTCCTTTATGCTCCAGCCACTCCCACCTGCCACTTCATCTCACTCCTAGGAGGAGGTCAGGAAGTTTAATTTTGCCTTAAAATTTCATCAGTACAGTTCAGAGATCAGAATCAAATGTATTCTGTGCAAAGAGAAACAAAGGATTTTATGTCCCGTCTGGTGTTGAAATTGTAAGCGAAGGTACAAGCTTCTGATGCACAGGTCAACCATACTCTGCTCTGTGTAAAAGCAACTAATCTATTTGTTCATAGGCTCGGCTGTGACTTTCGCACCCACGCCCCCATCTTCAAAAGGCCAGGGACCTGTGCAGCTCACGTTCAGCCAGGGCTGCAATGTGAGGCTGGTCCTTTTACTACAAGGGTTTTCCTCAAGCTAGTAATACTAGGGAGTGGCTTTGCCTCTCCCATTCAAGACTACTCTGGGACAGGTGAAAGTGCAGGTGTAGCAGACCCAAATTCAAACTCCTGCTCCAACCTGATCTGAACAGCAAAGGCTCAGTTCTACACCTCCTGTTTCTCAAACATTTTCCTCCATGAAAGTGATTCAATATTTAAAGAATCAGCCCCTGCAGGAGTGGGCTAGGGCCACCCACACAACATACAACATCCAATCACTCCTCTGCAAACCTGGACACAAGCAATTAATTTTTCCTGTGTCCCATGGACCACAGTATCACAAGTAAAGAGTACACAGTTCTGTTCAATACTGCCCCAGCAGTTATTTTGTGTTGGTGCCTCTGCTGCTTTTCTCTCTACAAGAGACACACGTCTTGATTGGACATGCTTACAGAACATCTTTGGGCCTCCTGGTGAAATAATAAAGAATTCACTTTTTGGCAAATTTTGCTGTCAGTCCTTCACAACTGGCTGGAAGAAAGGCTCCAGATACTTAGCCATGCTGTGGCACTAACATGAAGCAGCTTCACATAGATGTTCTTGCAAACTGAGGACATCAACAGCACTGAAATCACGAATGTGGTCCCTTCCCTGCTTTAATAAGTAACTATGCACTGAAGACACTGGTCCAAGCCTGGAAGCCACAGATGGTAAGATGTCTCTGTAAGGTTTTTATGAAGAGACGGGCATTTCAGGCATTCTCTCACCATAAATGGGAAAGAAAACTTGCTGCTGTCAGAGTGACTAGATTGCTCTACAGTTAGGGGTTATTTTGTGTGTGTCTGTGTTTGTTTTCTGAACAGCAATGGCAGTAGCAGGGGCACAAGGGAAGCAAGGACTCAGCCAAGCACAGTTAACAGCTCCCCATCATTCCTGTTAACCAGCATGGCAGATGCTAACCCCACAGATCTGCAACTCCAAATAGGCTTTGATGTCAGTGGGAGGCACAGAGCACACAGCTCTCACTGCCTGCAAAACAGTTAGAGTTCAGACAGAAGAAATAAATTTATGAAAAGGTCCACAAATATAAAGAATTCAACGTTCGAAGAAATGAGCTTCTCACCATCTCTGCTGGTGTCCCATTTAAGCATCAAGTCAATGGCATATATTGCTCTTGATGACGGATAATCGCAGATGCCAAGAGGCGCAGGTTTAGCTGAAGCAGCTTGGAATAATTCAGCAAATGCCTTAAAAATATTTGCCTATTAACAGAGAAAGGTCTCTGAATGAGAAGCAAGGTTCCATAAAGGCAATGAACAAGTTTTTAATCACTTAGTTCATACAGTTTTAAGAAGGCTGTATAATTTGTGTGAATTACACTAGCCAACAGATGAAAATCT